GGTCTAGGCCCGAAACGTCAGCCTCTCTGCTCCTATGATGCTGCTTGGCCTGCTGTGTTCATCCAGCCCTGCACCTTGTTGTCTCGGATTCTCCAGCATCTGCAGTTCCTACTATCTCTCTTCCTCAAAATGTTTTCTTTTTGAAAAAAAATTTGAGAATGTGGTTTGATAAGCTACTAAATAATTTAAGATAAAAACCAGTTTGTATATTGATTCCATGTTGAAATGCATTTTAAATATTTGTCGTAACTTACATAAAAGTTCAAGAATAAAAAAAATCTCAAATTTGCTAATCTCAGTGATGTAGTAAGAAAGAATGCTCTGATCTAAGAAGCAAGTTGATGTCCTTTAAGGAAAGCAACTGTTTTTTTACTAAAAGAGAACACTGAATAAGATCTGTCAGACGCAGAAAAGTATAATGTTCAGCTTTGCTCATAGCTACTTGTAGGCAACAATATTTCAGACAATATCATTAATATGGAAAAATATAGTCTATCTACAGGATATACATGATACATGTGCCACATCAGTACTGTGCGTGCTTTTTGAGTGGCAATGATGCTCAATGTAGCAACAGACACATAGACAGGCAAAGCTTGCTCAGAAGCTACAAGTCTGATTCAGGCATGTCAGCCATTAAGTATCCAATGCCATAGCGGCCGTTTGGAGCTGTGTCTGCTTCAGGAGTGGGGGATCCATTTTGCTTTCGGTAGATGCTGTTTCCAACCATTGGCGAGTGCATCTCACTTGGGGTCTTGCTTTGTAGAAGACTGGCATCATCTTCCTCCAAGTTGGAATTTTCCTTCAGAATCCGTCCTTTCTTGTATGAGACTGAGGCCAAAGAGTTGGAGCCATCATCCATTATGTTAAAATAACGGATGATGAAGACGACTGGGACAGGGAGTATGGCGACTAACACAAGGCCAATACAGACAGCCAAGCCCCACGTTGGGTAACTCAGAAATTTGTCAGCACCCTAGGAAAAGAGACAGAAGAATTCTATAACAGACTTCCTTGAATAATTTATAATTTGCTTCTAAAATGGGCTCAGTACTTCTTAAATTTTGTTTCAAATTTGTACTAATTTTTACAGGAATTGAAACCGGCCTCTGTCAGAACCCAAGCTAGTATGCAGGAAATAAACAAACCCTTTTACTTCAATAGAAAATGCTTCGAAGCAGGCTGCCAATTTGTTTCACATTCCTGTGAAAAATTAATACTGCCCCTCCAAAATCTTGTATTTTACAATGACACTTCTCAGCATCTCTAATACTGAGATTGACTCCTTAATTCAAGCTGCCTTGGTGCAATCGAAGTTACAATGATAGATAATCAAATGAGATGCATAAAACTATTTCTTAACAGATGAAGATTTTAATATAAGTAATTAGGTACTTTAAAAAAATCTCACATTCAAAGTTTGTCAGGGCTTAGTCCGAAAGCATCCAACTACCATGGATGACCCACTGTGTTACATTTAATTCCAAGATCAGCTTCTAATCTCATAGCTCAGCCATCATTACTTCCACCTCTGTAACATTTCTCAACTTCATTCATTTCTTGCACAAATCCTCAGCTGTTCTTTTACAATTCTAGGGGCACTTCCCTGGAAGTGATGACGAACGTGGTGAGAAGGACAAACATTGGGCAGGTTGGCCCTGGAGGGATATTCACCCTCTTCTTGACTCAGTAATTGTGCTGGGAGAGAAGATCCTTTGGGATCACTTTCTTAGGTACAAGCATTCGGAACTTGGGCGTTTGTAAAATTTTCCTTTAACTTTGACAATTTCTGTTTTGTTTTGAAATAGTACTAACTTATACTACTGACCAATGTATCTTTCCACAATGCTATTCAAATAGTTGGATGAAATTAATCGAACACTGATTTTTAGTCAAGGGAGTGAGAGGCAATGGATTGTGAGGGAGCATTTTAGGATGACAATGTGTTTGGCCCCCTGCTTTAACTCCTAAGCCATTAGTTTGTCCTCTCATTCCTGATTGTCTGATGGACAGCATGTTGTCATGCAGAAGTAGATATTTTCAGAAGTCCAGCTGACACTGGGGACCCCATAGAAACGATTTCCAATAGGATAAAGGGGTAAGGAAGGAATTGAAAAAGTTTGGCATTGGGAAAGACAGAACAGGGTACCAAGGTACCTTTATGAGGTCAACAGTAGCATTCCTGCTCCACTTGACCAACAAGGAACCTGCAAAAAGCCAAAAGTAAGAACTCGCCTATGTGTTGTGGTCTTTTGCTAACTTTTGTCAGCAACAACAACCCTTGGTCAGCCAACAATTAATTTTTAAAAATTATTTCCTGTACTATTAGTATTAATGGCAGGGCCAGCATTGGTTACCCATCCCTAGTTTTCCTGGTGCTCTAGGCCACTTCATATGGCACTTAAGAGTCAACAACATTATTGTGCCCTGGAGTCACATGAAAACCAGACCAATTAAGGATGACAGATTTCCTTCCCAAAGGGACAACAGTAAACCAGATTAGGTTGCACAACAGTTTGCAATGATTGCCATTAGACCAGTTTTTGATTCTGGGTATTTTTTCCATTGCATTCAAGTTTCACCGTCTACCACAATAGGATTCAAACCCATGTCTTCAGAACATTAAACTGACAGTCTGAATTAATAATCTGATGATGTCTCTGTTACACGACCAGCTCTCCCAGTCACACTGATACATGTAATCTAATACCATCACCACAATGTGACTTAACCAATTTTGCAGTCTGTCTCCGTGCCAGGTGATCTTCCTACGCATGACTTCAAGCAAGTTGGCATTGCGGGTACAACTTGGGAACACATTGTAAAAACAATTGATACTTAATACTTAGCCTCAAGGTTCCCAATTAAGTACCAATTTAGAACTCAAATTCTGAACATAAATAGACTTTTTCTGGTTTAGATCTCCAACTCATCTGTCAGTTCTTTCCTCTAAGGGGATGGCAGTTTAAACATGACAATACTGTGATTATAGTCAATGATGGTCCATGGCTGAACATATAAATCCAATATCAACGTTAGCCTGATAATTTTCCCTCCTGCAATGATAGATTCTGAAGTTATGGAGCAGAGAAGGCTAAATGATAGTTCTGATTGGGAATTAAATTTATTGTCTATGTACCCTGCTGTCAACAATTCAATGTTATAACCCCAAATGCACACACTCATGGAATCACAAAGCAACAAGATTATTAATGTACACAATACTCACCAATTCACTAATCCAGGCCTGGTAGCCTGGTGGACTCAAACACATCTGGACAATGCTAGCCACAAGCAAAGCAATCAAAATAAGTGGAGAAATGTATTTCCACGTGTAATAGTAATATTGGAAAGGAGTGAATCCAAGCATATCCTTCAAGTCCTCCATGAACCTAATAAAATTCAACATAAAATCAAATGTACTTCTTGTACAATTACTTTTATCAGTCTATAAAACAGAAAGTTCCTGAAGGAAGAGCCTCATATTGTGTTAGTTTTGTTGTGGCATATATGACTGTGACATGTTTCTTTTTAGGGTGAGGTTGGCAGCTTTGTAATGTACTGATGGAGAAATACATTGGCCCTTCATAGAGGTCCTAGCAAATCTGAGGGTAGAACTTCCAATCCTGGAGGCACAAAGGCAACATAGTCAGAGAGGATGATGGCATACCAGAACAGTGCCATCTACCAACTAAACAGGGATTAAATTCTGGGTTGAAAGGCTGAGTTTGGGTCTTCCTGCCCTTTGACAGCTGAAGCATTAAGTGATCGATTAATGATCACTGTATGACCTATTTTCACTAAGGTTGCACTTATTTCAGCACCAAGCAAGACAAATAACAACTAGCCCATCCAAATGGCAAATCAGTGAAGATGGACGAAATAATTTCACAGAGGATGGTATGCCATCACAAAGTCACCCTTTATTTACATGTGGAGAGTCCTTGACTCGCATCCAGCTCCCTCAGTGCCAGCTCTCAGAGTGAACAGAACCTCTGACTCTCCTGTTTATATCTGTCAGCCAGGGCTCCCTAATTGGATCAGATTAACAGCCCCAATCAGAAAGCACATACTCTATGAGGGCGACCTGGCTGTGACTTCATTACAATCACTACATCCCTCCCCCTCTGAGTCTGAGGACATAGGCCAGTTCTTTTTTCTCGTAGCTCCTCCTGGGGCGCTGTAGCACCCTGTCAGCTTTGTCCAACTCTGCCTCTGATATGGGTGGCATGTAATGCACAGGAGCTTGCCTCTTGTGCCCAGACTGCCTCAGAAGAAATTCATCCTCCTCTTCAAGCAGCAAAGGCATTGAGGCAGTGTCATCTGTGGTGTCCATCTCAGATTCCAAGGTGTCTTCAACGCTTGATGGAGAGGAGAACCCACAGGTTCTGGAACAGTCGGAAAGGCAGTTGAGGAGCTGGGCATGTTGTGCACCCACACTGTTTGCAAGTTTGCAGCCTTCATATGGTCTATGTGCTTGCTCAGGGCTATCACACTTACTCAAAATTTACACATCACTAGACCTGACCTCGCATTGACCATGCCTCTTACCTATGCAGGGCCATCTCCGTGGTTCCTACACCAAACTTTGTCTGCTGAAGTAAACTGTCTCTTACTTAGCGGTATCTTATGTTTGGCATTGGTGTTCTCGATGCCGTTTCACCGTTCCCCCAGGCCCAGGAAGATCAAATGTAACCTGGTGCGGAGTCTTCTCCCCAGTAACAACTCTGCTGGAGCTATCTCTGTAGTTGCATGAGGGGTAGTCCTATAATCAAACAGGAACTAGGCCAGTCTGGTATCAATTGAAGCTGTTGGCTGTTTCTTTAAGCCTGCCTTCAAAGTTTGCACTTATTCTTTTTGCCAGACCATTGGTTAATGGATGGTATCAAGCTGTCCTCATGTGTCGAATACTATTTGACTTTTGGAAATATTCAAATTCCCTGTTGGTAAACAATGGTCCATTATCTGTGACCAACACTTACAGGAGTCTGTGTTTTTCAAAAGACACACGTGGTTTTTCTATCGTCATCCCTGTGTTTGCCGAATGAACTCCGTGCACATCCAGCCACTTTGAGTGGGTGTCCACAATGACTAAGAACGCCACCCATGAAAGGACCTGCATAGTTAATGTGTAGCCAGCTCCAGGGTTTACTCAGCCACTCCCATGAATGTGGGAGAGCTGCTGGTGGTAATTTTTGTCCTTGCTGGCACTCTGGGCATTGCCCCATCAACGCGGCTATGTCTGCATCCTATCCTGGCCACCAGACATAACTTCTCACCAACATCTTCAATTTGGAAACCCCTTGATGATCCTGGTGAAGTTCAGCCAGTATCTTGCAGTGACCTTTGCTCAGGACAATCACTCTTGTCCATAATAATATGCCATTCTCTACTGTGATCTGCTCTCTCCGGGTCCAAGAAGGTTCCAATCCTGGTTGTGTTAGCCCTTTGCTTTCCTCATCATCACCAGCAGTTTCCGTTTTGCCAGGACCAGATCTTTCTGCATCCAAAGTCTGATACTGTCAGCTGTAACTGTAAGTGTGTCCAGAAAATTTGAAAACATCACAGACTCTTCCAGGAGCGGTATCACCAGTGGTGTATCTGCCAGTGAGAGGTGGCTCAATGCATCTGCATTCGCTACTTGGCCTCCCGGACGATGTTCCAACTTGTAATAATACACACTCAGTATTAGAGCCCACCACTGAATTCAGTCTGAAGCTTTCCACAGCACTGCCTTGTCCTCTTTATGTACTCCTAGCAGGGGTTTGTGGTCCATTATTATTACAAATTCACATCTGTAAAGATATTGGTGAAACTTCTTGACTCCAATTATGACCACCAAGCCTTCCTTCTCTATCTGGGCGTATTTACGCTCTGTATTAACCAAAGTCCTGGATGCATTTGCAATTGGGCATTCTTCTCCATTGGGCCATCTTTGAGCTAATGCGACCTTGATGCCATACGGGCATGCATTGCATGTCAATACCAGATCTTGCTTGGGATGAATAGTGTGCCAACACTTTAGAAGATGCTTCTTTACTTCCCTGAAAGCTATTGCTTGGCTATAAGAATATTTCCAAGGCTGACCTTTTTTAAGAGTTGATGCAAGTGTGCCAAGATGGAGGCCAGGTTATGTATGAACTTTCCGTAATAATTCACCAGCCCAAGGAAAGACCTAAGCTCCCGTACAGACATGTGAGCTGGGGCACCTTTGATCACCCTCACTTTCTCTTTCAATGGATATAATCCAGTCGGGTCAACTCTATAGCCCAAGTAGGTCACTTGAGGTGCCTCGAACACACATTTTTCCCTTTAAGGCGTACGCCCGTCTGGGAGAAATGTCTAACGACCATGACCAAGTTCTCTAAGTGCTCCTTATTCGCCCTCCCTGACATTAGCACATCATCTAGATAAATGCTGACCTGGGGCAGATCTTGTAAAATGTTCTCCATCGTACACTGCAGAATTGCACAGGCTGATGATGCTTCCCTCTAAAGCTACCTGCCTGGAGGATGTTATGGCAGGCCTTGCTGTGAAGAGTTAGCTTGGGTGTCTCGCCCCATATTCAGCGAGTGAGACACATGCTAGGAGTGGAATTTTCTGTCCTGAGAGTGGGTTAACCAAGAGAGTTCACGCTCGGCTCTTAGTAACAATCTAAACTATCAGCGATGTTGGAGAACTATGGGTAAACTATAATGCATCAGTGAACAGCTTTGTTTAGGTCACTCCAATGAGGTGTCTTTGAACCTGAATTCAAATTGGCCAAGCATAAATATTTATCGTCACTCAGATGATCTCCAAGTTCTCCTTTAAGAGTTAATTTACTGTGACTGATTCTCATTTGTGTCACTAGATGGAGTAGTATAAAGTTAAAAGCTCACAAAAAATAACTGCTGCCTGTACAATGGAACAAAAGCCTTGCACAATAAGACTGGAATATAACTTGAGTGAAAAATATAATTAGCAGAACCGATATTTTTCAGTCACTTCTTGTTACACAGTTTTTAGTAAATTTCGATGAATCACAGGACTGTTGGTACGTACTTATCTGTGCCATAAACCCAAGCGATAACGATATTTTCCAGGATAACCACAATTAGTAGGGGCAGTGTGGCTGAGTAATCATCAAACATGGTTACAAAGTAGTTTCCAGAGCGCTGCACAAAGAGGAGGCCTATACTGAAAGCCACAAGACAACAGCCAACTGGAGTAAAGGAAAATATATATTACAGACCTGACAGATGGCCAAAGTACATTGCAAATCACCTACAAATAAGCTGACTGTAATCCTGTAATTGCTAGCAGAGTAAGCATGAAAAGGAAGCAGAATTTTAAAATCCTAAGACTTTTCCACAGTGTGATACTACAAGCAATGTTCATTGAATAAAGGCACCAGTGTTCCCCGTCCAAAGCCTTTCATGGGTCCACATTGAAACTAAAATTTATACATTGTCCACTGTGAGAGTTTCAGTATTTATTTCCTTCACGTACAAAGTCAGAGACAGAGAACTTGCTTGTTGGCCGATTTTGAATTTGAAGAATTGCCCTGAAGTCAAAGCTAAACAATGAAATGCTGAATCTTTAATATAATTCCCAGGCAAGATTGAGCCACTGAGTAAAAATTAATGCTGAGTAAGCAAACTTTCTGTTAGCTCAGTTGTGGCTCTTAACAATTTTTCTTTTTAATAACAACAGGGGGGAGAAAACGTTTAGATTTACCATAATTTCTCAAGCTGTCAGTAGCAAACTGCAATCAGCATGTGTAGCTGAGTGAGGGAATTGTGTTTGAGAGTTTCACTGATAGATCGTGGTGAAGCTGAGTTCCAGTTTCTGAAAGCAGTGAGGCATGGACCATACAGAAAACAGAAGAGGCAGTATGAAGTATATAACGCTGTCTGCAAGCTGTTTTAGACGTTTTGAACTTTAAAATATCGAATGTTGGTAATAAAATCAAAGGGTCTAGAGAGAGTAAACAATATGAAACATTTCCCCCTTAGTAGAGGGATCATTAACCAGGGGAATAGCTTTAAAGTAAAGGGCTGGAGGTTTAGAGGAGATTTAAAATAAGAATGTTTTCACCCAGTGGGTGATGGGTTTCTGGAACTTGCTGCTGGGAAGGGTCGTACAGGTGCGAGCCATGACAGTATTTAAGAAACATGTAGATGACCATTTGAAGAGCCATAGCTTACCAGACCACAGACTAAAGTGCTGGAAAATTGAACTAGAGAAACTAGCTGCTTGATAACTTGCACAGACACAATGAACCAAGGTGCTGCTTTACACATTATAAAACTCTATGGCTATGACTCAAGAGGATTCTGTTTCTGTACTAAGTTCTAACCAGGTTGATATCACAAAGGGTGAGTCTACCCATCCAAAGGAACTTTGGTTCCAATGTATTTATTTTCTACATAAATGTGACTTGGTTTTTGCTCGATTTATGAGACCAATAAAATATTTTAAGAAAACCTATTGATGAAAACATGACCACTAAATGTGCAAAGTTAAATGGAAAGATAAAGCCCAGCCTTTCTAAATCCTGTTCGCTCACACTCAACCAAATGTTAATTGGCCCGGTATATGTATAACACAATTGTCAAAGAGCAAAATCACAGCTTATTTTGGGACAATACTAGATGTTTCACAAAGTAATACTCACTGGTGAGAATTTCTTTGCGTATTTTGAATGTATCCACAAGGGGGGTGAGTATTCCTTCAATGGTGCCAAACATGCTGCCCAAGCCCAGATTTACTAACATCAGGAAGAACAACACTGACCAGAAGGGCGACGCTGGGAAGTGAGTCATGGCCTCAGTGAAGGCAATAAAGGCTAAGCCAGTTCCTTGCACAGCCTGCAAAACACAAAGTTAAGAATCAGATCGTTTCAGATTTAAACACTGCAGAATCATGCTCCAGGATCTCAGATCCATGGGTAATTTTGGCATTTTTCAGCCAGTCTACAATGACGTTTTGATGGTGGTTCTAGAGAATTTTACTCAGTCAAGTAAAAGGTTCCTTCAGAATCTGAACAAATCGCTGTGACTTTTGTATGGGTTTAGAATGCATCAGCTACCCTGATTACATTGGGCAATCACAGACATCTCTTTTATTCAGGCAGAGAGATACCATACAGCACGTGGCAGATGGAAATAATGAGATTTGGAATGGCTTATATTTCCCCTTTATTCCATTTATCCCATCATTTCCATACACCCATGAGGGATCGAGTGAGTTCTGCTTACACCTGCCCTCAGATGCAGAAGAATTTTTGACAGATGTTAAATCAATCAGTGACCTACAATAAATAACTCCATTAGTCAGATAAGGTATCCTTTTCCAGAAAAGCTGGAGGAAGGTCATACCTCTATTCTTTGGATGATTATAGACTTACCTGGTTAAGTTCATCCTCTAATTGACATGAATCCAGGCCTAACTTTGGAAATTCCTCTTCCTTCACTTCCTTTATAATGTTGTACATCTGATGGTAATCTGTTGCTGAAACATCTGATAAATTAACATGATGAGGAATGAGATCATGACTGACTGCACCTACTTTAAGCATTTCCAGGATCTTGTCTGCGTTTCTGCAATGTAACACATGGAGCCAAATCAGTGTCAGTAACAGCATGCAATTCTGGGGCAAAACACATATGAAAAACGAAATCAATACCCACCTCACAATACATTTTTCATTGATAATATTTGCTTTAAAGCCCAAGACAGCAAACACTACAAGTGTTGCTAAGACAGATGTGAAGAAATTGATGAAGGAGACAAGGACAGCATCAAAATGGCAGTTGTTATCTCGTTTGTTATAGCTGGAGAAAGCAATCACACCACCAAATCCCAGCCCAAGGGCAAAGAATACTTGGGTTGCAGCCCCTCTCCAGACCTGAGGGTCCAACATAATTTCCAACTGTGAGGTAAGAAAAGAGGTTGTCATTAGTGCTCTGTGCAGACTCAGCCAATTCCAGCAAGTAACAGAAGTAGAGCTAGGATTTTTCTTTTTAAAGAAGCCCTACAGACCATCCCTGATATTTGCTATTATAACGTGCGCTAACTAGAACATATTCACCTTGCAGCCTTGGCAATGGCTATTGCCACTGGGCACTCCACATGAATGTTAAAGATATTACAACCAAAAATAATTTAAAATTATCTGGTGACTGCTGTGGAAGGTTCCACATAAACCTCAACCTATTATCTCCTTTTCCTGATAAATCTCCCCTCTTGACACTCACATGGTACTGGCTGTTATTTCTGCAGTTTCTTTGCAGCTTTATTTGCTATTCATCTGTTTGCATATCAACTGTGTTCAAACTACTGTAATAACCTACCAAATGGGTTCAAATGGCTTTCAATCCCATGACCATTACCATCTAGAAGGATAAAGGAGGCAGATATGTGAGAACATCACAACTGCATATTCCCCTCCAAGTCACTCACAATCCTGACTTGGAAATAAATCCCCATTCCTTCAGTGTCGCGAAGGCGAAATCCCAGAAATCCCTCCCCAGTGGTATTGTGGGTCTGTCTACACAATGTACCTCGCAGCAACAAAAGAAGGCAACTCACTACCACCTTTTCAAGGGCGACTTGTGATGGACAATAAATGCTAGCCCACTCAGCAATGCTCACATCCCGTGAATAAAACAATGAAAGGAAGGGATTTTGGAGGAAGGAGGAAGAGAATGAATTCATGAATAATGTTGTAAATAATGGGTGCTAGGTACCATTTCTAAAAGTGAGAATTATTCAGGATTGGTGCAACCGACAATCTTTTGCCAGGGTCTCTGTAATTATATTTGGTTGATGATGTATTTTGTAAACAACTAATTACAGTAAAATTTAAATGGTAATGTTTCTGCAAAATTATGTATAATTTACAGTGCAGAAATATGCTGTTCAGATCAACTAGTCTCTTCTGGTGCTTATACTGTATACTATACTTCCTCGAACCTCATCAGCATATTAATTTAGTCTTTTCTCCTCTCTAGCCTCTCCTTACAGACACCAATGCTATTCACCTCATCTGCTCCACATAACAGCAAGTTCTACATTCTAATCATTCTCTGTATAAAGAGGTTCTGAATTATTTATTAGTGGCTATCCTATATGTAAATGCATGAGAACCTCACCCCTTGTAACTGTTATAACTATTTAAGTTTGTCCATTTAAGTACTGCAACCTTCATAATAAGGAATCTTTTGCTGATGTAGCTTTTTAATCCACAATATAACTAGTGTCTGTTGTTGAAACTGCAAACTATACCGACCATTAATTATATTGACAGATACATTAATCACAAAACCTATACTTATCTAAGCAATACAATTTTGTTTGTATTTCTTGCTGATTTTTGGAATAAAATTCACTTGTGAGGGATATAAATAAAAATTTTAGACCTTTTTATTATTCTTGTGTTAGCTTGAATACATAGTTTGATTTGAATAGATTTATTCTGGGAACAGAATAAACGAGTTTGTGATCATCATAAAGATACTGGTACACTCTACCACTAGGTGGCATGCAGTATAACAATTGCGTGTGCTTATCTGGAATTTCACCATAAAATAGTACTGACAGGTTCATTAAGAAACATTTTTAATTTAGCAATAAAACTAAGCAGAACACACCTTAGGGGTAAACATATAACGGATTCCATCCAAAGAACCTTTCAGAAGAAGACCTCGAACCAGGAAGCAGATAAGTACGACATAGGGAAACAGGGAACTAAAATACATCACCTGAAAAATAAGTGGAGGCCAATTATTTTCAACAAAAGAATTGAAAAGAAAACCTCTTCTTCACTTCTAAAAGATATATGAACACTTTACAATTTCATTACTGCATTTCAACCAATCTGCATGACCGAAACTTTGTTAAATACAAGGATTTTTCAGTTACAATCAGTATTAGTCTTTACTGTATCTACAGGGTAATCAAAGATTTTAATAAAGCTGGACAGTAGAAAATGTGCAGTTGACAACATTAATTAGATTCATAATGAACTAAATATGCAGGATGATCAGCAATTAAAATTGCAAGATCAGGTAGGAGGTTAGGAATTCTATGGTGAATGACTCACCTCCTGCCTTCTAAAGCCTGTGTGCCAACTACAAAGCTTAAGTCAAGAGTGTATTGGAACATTCTCTACTTGCCAAGATGAGTGCAGCTCCAAAACACTTCAAGAAGTGCAGGTTGGACAGTGTAGATAGATACCAGACCTTTGAAAGGTCCCAAAATTTGATCTTGGTTATTGGTACAGCAAAATTATTGAGATGGCAATGGAGAAAAATATGAGGGACGTAAGTTAAATGCAATCTATCTTCAATTGATTGGTTAACTTATTCTAAACAGGACATTAGTGCTATTGCACTCTGAAGCAGGGAGGCAATACTTGAGAGGCTGCATGAGCTTAGGGTTCATTTTCAAGCTCCATTAGAGAAGGGGTGGGGGGTAATTCACAATTTTCAAATGATACCAAACGTAAGAGGTATGGCAAACAGGATGGTATGAATCACCTGCAACAGGTTAGCAAAATGGCTAAACAAGTGGCAGACAGAATTTAATTCAGCCAATGGAAGGTGATGCAATTTGGCAAAAGAGATAAGAGGCAATATAGATTTAATACACAATTCTAAAGAGAGTGCAGGAACAAAAGGACTTAGAGGTGCATGCACATTGATTTTTCAAGGTAGCAGGAGGATGTACTAAGAGAGTGATTAGCAAATCACATAGGAGCTTGTCTTATTAAAGACAGGACTGAGTAAATAAACAGGGAGTTTATGCTGAAATTGCATAACCCTCTGGTTAGACTAGAGTGTAGCATCCAGTCTGATCATCACACCTTGGGAAAGATATGAAGGTCCTTGACAGGATGTGGAGAAGATAACCAAACTTGTTATAGAGTTGGAGAGTTTTAGTTTCAAGGTTCAGTTGGAAGGGGCAGAGTTTCCCTTGGAGAGATCAGGGTAGATTTGAAAGAGGTGTACAAAACTACAAGAAGTTAAGATGGAATATATAAGGAAAGGCTCTTCCACGTTAGCTAATGGTCAAAGATCTGGGGACACAAATGTAAGATTCTGGGCTAGACACACAGGATAAATGAAAGGAAAAACAATTTTTACATATTTTCTAATCAAACTATTCAGATATGTTATTATACACCTCTGGAACAGGGGTGTCTTGAACCTAGGCATCCTGGCCCAAGAAAGGGGACTACCGCAGTGACAAAAAAGCCCTGACAGCAATTTTTACACAGACTGGTGATTACCTTAAAATCACTTCCCATGAGAGTAGCAGAAGTAGAAATGATCAATTATTTCAACAGGAAATTAGACTGGCCATTGATGGATGTAAACCTTTGGGCTACAGGAAAGTAGTGGGTGAGTGAGACAAATGGATAGCTTAAGCAGGGATCTGGAAGGATTTCAATGGACCAAATGGCTTCCTTCTGTGTCCTAAATTATTCTGGTTGCAATATTGTGTGACTATTGATGGTCACGGCAGTGGACGTATCCACCAGCTAAAGAGCTGGTGAAACTCTACAGTAACCATTCACCTCAACCAAAGTTAACACTATTCAGGCACTTACCTGGTTGGAGACAGGGTCCAAGCCAATTTCATAGCAGATGATCCACCTCCAAGAGCTGCCAGCTGATCATGGGCTGGCAGCTCTCTATAACGAGTGGCGCCACCAGGAGTGGTGGTCACCGATAGGTACTACTGTCAGGTCTAGGAGTATAGACTCATCACTGAAAGCCTTGTGGAATATAGGGAGGCTCCAACACGAGGGGAGCAGGTCTGTTTAAAAGGCAAGTGAGTGTGTTCCCACATTGGTCTTCCTTGCCGTCTAATGGATCCCTTCATTGGGAAAGGACTATCCAGGTAGGAAGGAATTCCTCCTAAGCTGCATGTATGCTTTCCAGGATTTGTCTGGCAGTTTGTCCCCATGCATGGCCCCTTCCAGCTGCTGGGTGAATACCAGCTACAGTGGAATTAGGTCAGTTAGGGCCTCATTTTGCCTCTAGGTGGGAAGGCCATTCATGAACCTTCCTTCCCAAGATTTAATCAAGGGAGTTGAGAAGACAAAAGGGTCTCCATGCTTCTTCTTCCCACCCATTATTTACCAGCCCCATCAACCCCACTAACCTCCTCATTGAAATCAAGAGGGAACATTTACATTCCACCCTATCCTTGTTACATTCTGAACAAGAGATTATCCTGAAAGAAATCTGGTGGAAAATAAGGGAGAGAATAACTGGTTACATCAATTTTAGGATCTAGAAATCAGACTGTTAGCTGAAGTTTCATCTGATTAGGACATCTCTATAATTACAGACTTATTATTGAAACTGAATCCATATGAATGTTTATAATGTTAGGGCAAGAAAGTGTGTTTTTTATCAAAGCGGTGCATTTTCCTCAGGGACCTGAGTAAGGGCTAATTAATTCTGCAGCTAAATGAATAATGCAGCTTACTGTATAATACAGGAAGTGCAATTGAGATGGATAAGGAAGCGCACTCCTAATAATGTCAGTATTAAAGGCTGCTGCATGGCAGTTTGCTCACATGGTTTAAATCACCTGACACTTGTTTAAAGCAGTGGTGGATGCAAGACGACCACTCATGGGTTTCTACTGAGTAAGAGGTTCAGTTAGATTTTCGAGAAAATAAAACTCAAAGGACAGAACAGAAGCACATGTAAGAAATTTCCAGAAATTCTAAGACACATGCATGAAAGAGTCATAAGTTTGGTGTTTTTATAAACATTCCCCCTTAATTTGTGTATGAAATGAGATTTGTCAACTGATACATGCATGGTTCAAATTATATAAAGGAAATGTATTTTTTTAAAATTCTGAATTAAAAGTTTCTTTTTAACTGATCCAGTCATAAACTTGTCATATGTAGGAAATAATGTGTATGATTAAATGAGCAACATTGGAATGATTTAGCCATACTGGGCAGATGGCATCATTAATAGACTGACTAGAATGTGACCTTACAAACAGACATCTGAGCTAATCTCATTTAAATCTATCCTACTTCGCTGCATGTGCTTTCACAGCCAGGTGACTCAGTAGCCTTTATGATTCAAAGGGCAACAAAGAATTATGATCAGGATAATTGCTTTGAGGGGAATATAAAACTTTGGCAATATCAGAACCTAAATCCTTAGAAATGCTGGAAATATTCAGCATATCAAGGAGCATTTGAGTCCCAGACCCCAAACCTCTGTTTCTTTCTCCATAGCTGCTGCATGCTGTTTTAATTTCAGATTTCCAGTGTTTGCAGTATTTTGCTATTGTCTTGAGAATGGAAAAGGAGGATTTTCAGGTGAAGTAACAATTAGACTTTGCTGAGAGAGTCTGATGTTATTTAAGTTATTTTATAGAAGAGAACTCAGAACCAAATGAGACCATACAGTCATTCAGCAAAGGTATTATTTAAGCATTTAAATGCTCTTTTTTCTGAAATCACAGGCAATGGATTTCCATCCGTGTTTTAATTTCATTGGGTAAAATGATTGTAAAGTATGAATGTTAGTGTACATATTGCAAATACTCTTTGTTTTTTTAACCAAAAGTACATCTTTACAGGGCAGCACATCAGCATATTAATCCCACTGTTGAAGACGAAGGCAGTAGAAAAGCACATTTCTGCTAATTATCTGAAGACAATTCCCAGATCATTGAATTATCTACTGAGCTTAGAAGCTGTTTGTTTTGTTTTGGTAATGAATCACGGGAATATCATGTCGGAAAACAAAACCCCTTTACAGGCCAACTGCTTATTCTCTGTGTTTACAGTAGGTTTTCATGCATTTACCACATGTGGCCAGACTGTCATGTATGTCATGATTGTCATATCACTGTCAATTTGCTTCTTCGTGTGGTCTAGGTGTCTTGTGTGTTTTTTTCATATTCATCGATCATGTTGGACAAAGTAATTCTTTTCACAACCTCTAACCAATCAATTTCAAGGGAAAATAATTTAAAAAAAACACAAACAGGACATTTTCTTATCCCCATGCACCTCCCCCTATACTCTCTTCAAAGAAAAGGCAAACATTGAATTGTCACAGAGATCACAAATGTATCTGGTATCCAGCTCCAATTCTCCTCCCTTAGCCGATGTTCTGAACCTGGGGTACAGCCTTCCTCATGATTGTCACACAATTACCTGTCGCACATGTTCAGAAGTTCCACCATAATCAGACAAAATACACTTTTAGGGGAATACATTCCAATCTTTTGAACTACTGTAGGGCTGAGACTCAGATCCATTAAAAAGTGATGTATTTCTTTTTTTCACGTAACACAGACTCCCTGAGGGATACATGCTTGGGGATTTTGTCTCTATTGAATGAGCTCCTGATTTTATTATAGTGAAGCTGTTGTCAGGCAATCAGAGAAACACACACACATGAAACATAAATTTTCATCTTCATTGCCAGTGTGATTAACTGATATGAGCAAACTCCCATCCTTTGTAAAGCCTCTCTGCTTTATTTCGCATGGTTTCCCTTCAGGTTTTATTCCACGGTGTTAAGTGAAGGTAAAGATCCAACTGAGGCTGGATGGGAGGAAGGATGGTGCCGGTGGTGGTTGGGTGGGTGTTTGGGTTGGTGGGGAGCTGGATCTGTGGGTGTCTAGAACCAAGGGGCACAGTCTCAGAATGGGGACCAACCCATTTAGGGAAGACCGGAGAATAAATTTCCTCACCCAGTTGGTTTCGAATCTTTGGAATTTTCTGAACCACAGGGATTGTTTGAGTATGTTGATGTCGTTGAGTATGTTGAAGACAAAGATTGATAGGTTTCTAGTTACTAATGCTGTCAAGGAATATTGAGATAGAGCTGGAAAATGGCATCCATAGATGATCAGCCATGATCTAGCATGGTGAAGTAGACTTGAGAGGCTGAATGTTCTTCTGTCCCTCAGAGCCAAAGACACAATGGTGGTTTTGGGTCCGTAGGGAAAATAGGGAGCAGGATGCCTTTTGTGCTGCCTAAAATCAAGGACACCTGACTGATTTTGATTTTTATCATCACATTCAAGAAGGTGTACAGTCAGTGAATTGATTGGCAGCTTGTCATTTCGAAAGGTGGAAAATCTGGCAGGACAAGTGCCTCTCACAAGGGCATACAACTGCAGTTGAGGAAAGCAATGGGAGCTAAACAGAGTAGCAGATTTGAACAGCATGCAAAGCAGCAAAAAGATTGTCCTAATGGCAGCTTTTAAGGCTCAGAACTCTCAAGAGACTAAGAAAACCTGTGTCAAATTCTTCCTTGAAAGAATCTCTTTTAGTAGTGCTATAATAGCCTCTACCTGACTTAAATCACCTTTGGGTTATGGCAGGTTAGGGAAGTACAGGCAGTCCCTGGGTAGTGAATGGGTTTCATACTGAAGTCCATTCGCAGATCAGTTTGTTTGCAAGTTGGAGCACAATACAGGATAATGGACAACAACTGTTCATAAGTACAGGAAATATTCATATGTCAGATTTTTAAATTTTAAAACCATGTTGCATTTGTAAGTGTGAGCATTCATGAGTCAGATGTTTACAAATTGGGGGTCCCCTGAGTGCAAATTAACAAATAATGGTATTGGCATTCCTGGCAATGCCATTTAACTTCTGCTTCCATATTTTAATGAAGATGACAAGAAGCTACAGAGTTACCAAGGGTTGTAGGGCACATATACTATTTTGCTCCACCAACCATTCCACTTCAGTCTCCCGAACAATTGCTCAATGCCTACTGTGATGAAATCTTGTGTGATTTAACCCAAATTGAAACCAAGGACTTACCACAAATCGCGTGAAGCTTGATGTTGTGAAATGTTTCCTAACTGCATGATCTATTGAACTTTTTCCAGCCCTGGTCATTAAAAGTCAGGAAAAGTTTTTTTTTCATAGTTTGGCTAGATTGTGTCAAGAACACATCAAATCAAAGTGAAAAGGTTGAATTTAAAATATGTTTTGTATAGATTAATTCTCTGTTAAAAAACAGGGAAATATTCTTGTTTCTAAGTTTAAAATATGCAACCAGTTCCACAATTCTTTGTGTGAAATGAAGACTGGATTCTTCGAGTAATATAGTTAATGGCTGTAACATAGGCAGTGCTCTGAAATAAGCACAACGATCTAATTTGTATGTCTATTGAACAAGACTCAAAATTTTCAGGACTGTCATTTCTACATGAGAATATCTGAATAAATACAATTACTCATATTTTCAAACACTAATAGAAATGATTTGGCTCACTGCAAAATAGATACGGCAGACACAAACTAAAGATTGAAATCAGAGTCAAGAAAATCACTAACCTTTCCTGAAGATTGAATGCCTTTGATCATGGCAAGGCAGACCATAAGCCAGGCTATGAAGAGGCAGATAGTCATTTTCCAATTCAGACCCCCACTCTCTGAGATAGAGTTAGATATATCCAGCGCCTCTCGGTACCAGAAATAGGTAGTGGCAGAGCTTTTCTCACATTCAGGCACAACAACTGAAACAAACAGTAAGATGTCCACATCTGTTCACATCATTTAATATACACAACGCCATCTCCTAACAGTAGGATAGTGTTCGGCCCATCATGCCTGTACAAGCCCTTCAAACGAGAATCATTACCTACAGCCAACGTCCTTCTCTTTTCCCCATACTCTTGCATACATGTCCAAATAATCACCCATTACCCTCTTGAAAGCCTCTATTGAACTGCCTCTGCCACAATTCCAGGCAGTGCATTCCATATCCTAACTACTCGCTGTCTTTTCTCACATTGTAGCCATGATGTGGAGGTGCCAGAGTTGGGCTGGGGTGGAGAAGGTCAGAACTCACACTTCACACCACACCAGGTTATAATCCACCAGGTTTATTTGAAATTACAAGTTTTCGAAGTGCTGCCCTTTTGTCAGGTGACATCAGGTCTCACATCACCCTTGCTGCTTTTGCGCAAAGTTCTGTTGGATACTCACAGGTCTGGCTGCCATTTTTTTCCAAGGGACATTGATCCCAGGGCAATGGATGCTGAAAGGACTTCGACAAATAAAAGAAGCTCCACCCAATAATAACATTGTAGTACAGAGCGACAAAGAAACACACCTACAATGAGAACAGCAAGAAGTATTTCATAATCCTTTCATTGGTCTGAATACAAGACATCCCACTGACTTTTTTTCTTATTAACAATATTTTCAAAAAATTCCTTTCCATTTGGAACAATTATAATCTGCAAAGCATGCTGTGATGAAATTGCATTTAACTGTTGACATCAAATTCCTTTTACTGCATGGTCAACACAGTTGGAGGTTTGATATGAATACATTAAATTAACACATTCTTTATTATTTCAATTTTCTGGATTGAAAGTTATTCAAGCCTGTCACGTATGTCATCTGAGTCATGACTATCAAATCATTGAATATGTTATCTACTCATTAACTTTCAATGATTGAACTGAAGTAACCTTTTTTCATTTAATGATGAGTCACTGATAAAAGGAGGACAGCAATTGTATTCAGCTCTAATCAGATCTCACATGTTTAAGTGTAGAAAAGCAATAAGAACTCTATAGCTCTAATGCTGTTAAATCAAATGTGAGATTGTTGAATAAGTCAGTGTGGAAGTGTGAAAATAAAGCTGGGTTGTGTCAATGCAGAGGAAGTTGGTGCTATGCATTGTGTATATAAGAGAATGAAACAGCAATACAGATTTGACAGCAACCTCCAATCTGTATCTCTTCTGTAACTAACATCTTGGGAAACATTCAATTTCCTTCCTCTGTCGAACATGCAAATTTCTTGTTCACACCTAAAAATAATTCATTCTTTCGTCGTCAACAGAAAGTATTTCCTAATTAATTTCAACATCTACAGCATAACAAATATGGCAAAACAAAAACAGTCTGACCTGTAAATGACCACTTGATCTGCGTCATATAATGAGTTTCTAATTGAACAGGAAGGCATGAAGAACCAAAGCCATCATTTTTCCTTGAAGGTACATACCGAACACTCAATATTTATTTGGATCTTGGAAGAAGGTGGTAGAGGGTCGTGAAATCAGCCTTTTTAGGCAAGAAACTTACAGGTTTCCTTGATGTCCTGCAGAAATTAACTGCAAGGCATTTAACATTTTTTTCAATATTTTTCTCACCTGAATGCCAGCCTACATTCAGAGTTCAGTTTACCTGTTAGGTAGGGAAGTAAATGCCATGTAATGTGCCCATTGTGATGGGTTTAGTCCAAGACTAGACAGAAGAGGGCCAAATTAGACATCATGGGGAACTTAACTGTCAAACTGGAGGAGTCAGCCCATTTTAAAAATATTCTTTCATAGGATGTGGGCATAACCTGTTAGACCACTGTATATGGGCCACACCTCATTGTCAGTGAAAAGGAGGTGATGAACATGGGAGTCTGTGTCAACATGCTTCTCCTATCCCCTGCAGTGCAATGAAAATACCAGCCTCAGGTGTCCAGCTTTTCTCATCTTCTTTTAACTACAATGCTCCTGAGACTCAGAATTCATGGCAGAAATAAGAGACGGATGAAATGGAAGCACATGTACACCTTAGCCATCTCCATTAAGTGCAGAAGTTGAACAGCCAGGTCTGGATTTGAGAATTTAAAAGCTTTTTATCTACCCACCCACCTTCAGAAGGTTAAAACTTATTAAATTGCACACGGCTGTACTTCAACAACAAAACAATGGTGCTTTCTGCACCATGTATTGCTCCCAACTTTTCACAATAATTCCTCATTTCAAGAAATATACAAATGTGGCTGGATTACTTATTTATGGTGCTGAAATTAGTTAAACTAGATTTTTATTGCACCCAAAAATGGAAGATTTTCTAGTTCGAACGGTTGGTTCATTACTTTCCTGAAGCTGTAAATCAGTGACTCTCAATAATTATATCTGTTTAGCTATGCCTTAAAGATTTTAAAATGCAGAATATACAGAGAGATGCAAGAGAAAGTAACCCAGAAGGGTTTTGGGAGTGTGGTTCTAGAGTCTGGGGCTTCAGGGGTGGGAATATAGTTCTGAGGAAGGGTCACCAGACCTGAAACGTTAACTCTGTTTTCTCCTTCACAGATGCTGCCAGACCTGCTGAGCTTTTTCAGCAAGTTTGTTTTTGTTCCTGATTTACAGCATCCGTAGTTCTTTTGGTTTTTATGTGGGAATATTGGTGTTGGGTTCCTGAGCTTGGAAGTGAAGGGTCTAGGGTATGGAATTTATGGAACCAAAATCTAGATGCAGTGGGAGGAGGCTCTGAAGCCGAAGTGTACTGGAATACAGACTTCTGATCCTAGGTGTAATGTAATTGAGTGTGAAAACACGCGAGGGGGTCTTTGGGGTAATATTCTGGGAAGTGGGGATGACTGCGAAGTCACTGTAAACTTTCCAGGGTCTGTGATCAATGGGAGGAGTACGCTGACCTTACATCAATTAATAAAAGTATTAGCATGCTATATATACTGACATAAAGTCAACAAATATGGTATACATGCTCGAAATACTCAGGAAACCTTTAAAGGCAACCTAGCCATGCTGAATGCCACATTGCTATGCAACTATGACCTATACTACCTCAAGGTTCCTTAAAAAAGTAAAAGTAACTGAAGTGCTTTAATAAAACAACATGCAAATAACTTGAAAAAATTAATGCTGACTTCTAGGTTACAGCTAAGAATGTACCAATCTGCTCTTCCTTGGAAAGAGGGAAAAGGGGGATGTGGAAAGAGGGAAAAGGGGGATGGGGAAACAGCAAAATTTCAAATCAGGAGCTTGATCTTCATATGCCTCAGCCAAATGGTATCATCGCAAACAGTGCAAACTGTATCTCAGGGGTCTGGGGTTTAAGTGAGTCACAAAAGGAGATTTCAATCAGGAGTAACTAGAAGAAATAAGAAAGTTTAAGCAAGAAAGCTTCAGAATCATTGTGTTCTACATTCAAGACTTGCATTTCTCCCATCTGTCACCTTTGATACACTACAAATGGCCATCGATAATTCTCATAATGCTACAGTAAAACTGCAATGTTGATAACGAATGTAAAAATGAAGTCTCTGGTGAATGGCAAATCCGGCTTTGTTTCTGATATTATAACGCAACAATCCTGAGGAACTGCTGACTGAGAAATGAAGTCCTGGCCCCTCCCATCCCTGGAGAAGAAAAGGGAGAAGTTAGATATATACAACAAAACCTCAAAGGTTCTGGGGTGAAAATGCTTTTCACATACTGACTTTTGTCAAAGTTACTGTTAAATTCACTCCATTCTGTTGACAACATCCTAGGCTGGATTTTATCAGCCCCCCGGGGATAAGCTGTGAGGCAAGAAGTCTGGTAAACCTTGGAAAACAGCAGTTGGTGAAGCCATTGTATTCCTACAGCCTTACTATCTTTCCATCAGTGGGAAAGGTAGCATTTGGCCCATCCACTCAAAGCCTAATGAGCCATGTAAGTAAATAATTAAGGCCTCTTCCTTCCTCCAATGGCATTTTGCAAGCACTCAGGTACTCGTCTATCACGTGTAGCAAATGTCATATACACTCTAGCAGCTTCCCAGCTGTCTCTGGGAAGGAACTGCCTCCATTGTGGGCCAAGGCTGTCAACATTCAGCGACCCCATAAACCTCCAGGGGAATGCATGATTAGCCCCAGTAATCTCCAGACAATGCACAGCCATTGATGCACCCTCATCTTTGAGGTGCGCTCCCAGCAATGGTCACCACTGAGGCTGCTGAGCTGTTGTCCTTCTGCTTGGGCAGCAAGCTCTTGGGGGCAATCTGCCATCTTTAACAAGAACGGCAGGCCATTGACAGGGTGTGACTCAGGCTCTACGCTGACTGCCAAAACAGGTTTGCCCCCTTCTCCTTCACACCTTTTCAGCTCCATCAATGGGACCTCTGATGCCTCCATAAAATGCAGTCCCAAGCTTGAAGCTTCTACTGAACAAAGTTAGTATGGGCCACATCAACAATAAGCATTCTTTTGCAGAACAAACAGAATTAGACCTGCTTTGTTCTATAGTGTAAACAAGTTTCTCCTCCCCCAAAAAACAAAAGATCAAAAAAAACAATATCTTTAATATGAATACTTTCGGCAAATTATAGTTCATGAAATTACGAATGCTCTTTTGTCAATTGGACGCAAGAAGATTAACTCATGCACCAAGCATCTGGATGAGAAGCAAACCTTGCAGAGAGGTTCCAAGGTTATGGGCTCACAGTCCCATTTTTGCATTTGTGCATTGTTTTTTTGGTACGTTAATTCTCATTACTATTTAGAATTGGTTTCTTGACGTTCAAGACTTTGAAAGGCTCATTTCCCCTCAATCAGTGGTACTCAATGGAAAAATAGAGACAGTCAGTTGGAATATAGGAAAATTTTCATTGGGCTACAAGCAGAAGTTGAAAATGTTAATAGGGCAGGATTTTTCGGATGGCAGCATATCTCGCTCCTGTCAATAACAACAGCCACGTGGCTGCACAAGGCTCTAGGTGGTTTTCACCCTTCACTTGGGGAGCAAGTCTTGTCTCAGACAACTGCTAGTCAATCTGATTGGTCGGCAACTTTGTAGCCCAGGCAACATGGTCAGTTAGTTCAGTTGACTGGATGGCTGCTTTGCATTGTGCAGTGATGTCAACACTGATTGAGATTACCACGAAGGATTCTCCTTCTCTACCTCTCCCCTTGACTGGCATGTGGTGACCCTCAGGTTAAATGACCACCAGTCATCTCTCTTTAAAGAGAGTGCAGCCCTATGATTTGGTAAGGCCATGGCTGCTTTATCTTTAGTCCATGCAGCACCAGTAATAGTCATGATCATGACTGGGACTACAAGAATTCTCCAGATTCTAAAATCCCAGAGGCCAAAAATCAGATACAAACTTGGGAATCTCACGGTGCGGATGGAAGGTGATTGCAGGAGCACTGGAAGTATCGAAGAGGGAGTCAGCATGTGAGGGATTACCCACAAAAGGCAGACATTAGCTGAAGGGGAGAGTATCGACACACCTTTCCAACCCCCATTGTCAGAGTAGGGTGACCTGCCTTGGCTGTTTTCCTAACCGTGAACCCCTCCAGCTACCTTCAAAATTGAGGCCAGGTGAGAAGCAGCCGTTATGTGGCTAATAACTGCAGTGGATCAAAGGCAGAATTTTATGGTCCCCTCCCTCTGCCTCCAACCCACCCCAGTTTTCAGTTGGGAAGGTGGTAAAATTCTAAAATTCCCCTCTCCTCTCATCACTGCCCTCCCACCTGGCCTCGACCCAACTGTATGCAGGGTAGTGGGTGAAGATGACCTGCCCTCATCCCATAAAATATGGCAAATGAATAACGTGTTAAAAACATACTAATTCCTTCTATTTACCTTCCACTTTTTTTTTCCTTTCTTGCTGTTGATTCTCTCATTAGCTGGTTCTCACTTCCTGCCTTTGTCCCAGTCGCTGAACCTCCCACTCACTGTCCCTTTCCTGCTCACCGGCCCTTCCTGGTGACTGCTTTTCTCTCCCATTCCTTCTCGCTTACTGTCACCTTCTCTTGAATCCTGGCTCTGAGGAAGAGTAGAAGAAGTGGGTGGGTGGGATGAGGGCGAATGGTGCGACCGGGAGGAAGTGAGGGAGGGATTGAGAATATCAAGTGAGAGGTGCAGCAAGTGGGAGAGGGACAGTAAGCAAATGAGATGGCTAGCAGGCCATAGGAAAGATAACTGTCTGTGTAGTGACTTTGAATTTTTACTTGGCTGCAGCAACACTGAAGTTGCTACGAAAAGACAATGCATTTCACATGAAAACAGTTGCCAATGGAAGGCCAAATAAATATGCTAATTATCCAACAGAGACAACACAGTGTGGAGCTGGAGGAACACACCAGGCCAGGCAGCATCAGAGCAGCAGTAAAGTTTACGTTTCGGGTCAGGATCCCGACCCGAAATATCAGCTTTCCTGATCCTCTGATGCTGCCTGGCCTTCTGTGTTCCTCCAGCTCCACACTGTGTTGTCTCTGACTCCAGCATCTGCCGTTCTTGCTATCTGCTAATTATCCAAACAGCCTGACTCCACATCTCTGCAGCTAATCGCCTCACCACATTTTTGACCAATAATGTACAGAAAGTTAGCCATTAAGTTACAGCCTATAACTTCATACACAGTGAGTTTTAATTACACTTGTGGCTGATCTGTATTTTTCAAATAACTGTAAGAAATGCTGCTATTTTTTGTTTCTTCAAAATAGCTCAAAGGGCTGCAGCAAGAGAAAGGTGCTATGTTTGCCAATTACTCCAATGTCTGATCAATCAGCTTAAAATACCTATATTTCAATCATCTCTTTTACTGCTCAAAAAATGCAACACATGAGTGGATCAGGAAGAAGCAATCTTTTTGTCCTATTAGAGAAGAATTGGAAATGTGGGGAAAATAAATTACTTCCTCAGACATCATTCACTAAATCTTTGTGAACTTGCACAGGTAAGATATTTAAAAACATACAATGCAGCTTGAAAATCCAATTCCTCCAAGTCTGGGGCTGATGAAATTCCATACACCAATACTGCCTCGCCTGATCCTTTGACCCACAGCAAGCTCCAAGAAAAACAGTGGAATCCCAATGATGAGCAGTAAAAGCAAATAAGGCACGAGGTAGGCACCTAAAAAAGACAGAATACCGTCTTAGAACGCTCAAACATTTTGTATAGTTGTTTTAAATAACATAGCAGCATGGACAAGTTGGGCTGAAGGGCCTGTTTCTACGTGACTTCATTCAATAAGAAGTCATAAAGATTTGTGATATGTCTATTGTTTATCAAACACGTTAACTTTGATTCATCAATTTTGTGACATACCTTTCAAACTGGTGGAGGTTAATTACATATCGATCATATTTTCATGTTTTCGTTTCATAAAAATGCACCTTAATCAATACTTTAAAAAATCATTTTACTTTGCCACATAAAGTAAGATATATTCATTCAATCTATTTTTCTAAACTGTGTGTGCAAAAGTTCATAAATGTGCAACAAATGTCCTTAAGGGAAGGAAACTGCCATCCTTACCTGGCCTGGCCTACATGTGACTCCAGACCCACAGCAATGTGGTTGACTCTTAACTGCCCTCTGGGAATTAGGGATAGGCAATAAATGCTGCCTGGCCAGCGATGCCCTCATCCCGTGAATGAATAAAGAAAAAAAAGTAAGCCTGAGAGCTCAAAATGGAGCATGCCTGTGTCACTACACAATAAATGAGCTTCACGAAGCGCTTTGGCTTGTACCGATCACAAAGCTCCAGGTCCAATTAAATTATTAGACATGGCTGCACATAAACTTGAGATTGGAATGCAAACAATAATTCTTCAAGTCATTAGAAAACTAATCATACTTAATTATATGATAACATAATAAGTTTCCTAATTTTCAAAGACAGTACGTACTGGTCACAGTAATGACAAGGTTTTGAAAATGACAAAGAGTTATTTTCTACAAACTAAATCCTGCTTAATTAAGAAGAACCATAGCTATTGCTCAATGTGTTTATTAGCTCCAAGGAAAATATTTTGGTGGTTGTACACTTACCTCCCCCGTTTTTTTGGCATAAATATGGGAATCTCCATACATTGCCTAAGCCAACTGAGAATCCAACCTGTGCCAGAATATACTGAAGTTTGCTATTCCAGGCTGGCCTTTCTTCTTCAATGTCAGATCCTTCTTCAATGTCCACATCTTTTTCAGTCTGGGAGTCATCTACATATAATGCACTCTTCTTAAACTGATCGTCATTCATGTCCTCATTGGAAAGAAGGTCCTTGACAGACTCTGTGACATCTTCATCAAGTTCCCTCTTCACAACTTTGCTATTTTTAGGCATTGGAAATGCTAGATCACAGATTCCGTAACACTGTACAAAAGTCTAGCAGCAATGCATTCAGTCAAATGTAACTTGATGCAAACAAGCAGGCGGTATCAGCGACAGACAAGCTGATGAAAAGTTATTGAAGTCTTGAGATGCTAGGAGTCTGAAAGAGTATTCCGTAGTTCAAAATCTGCTGAAGAAAAACATTCATACTACATCACTTGTAGAAAAAAATATTAGAAGCAACAGTTTATTCAACCTTTTAAAGATCTGTTGTGAAACACTATATCTTGTATTCATATTATTATTCAGAACCGTCTGCAAAGAAATGGCATCGTATTTGTGTAACAACCTTCATCAAGCATAACATTTCAGGTACAAGATGAGGAGGATACCATGCAGTAGCATTAGATATCAAGGAAATGGACCAAAGTGGTCCATAAATTTTATGCAACACTTGAGAACAAGATGGAGTGTGGGGAATAGAAGAGAAACTGTAATTTTTGTTGATTTCCCAAAAGCAGAGGTTTAGTGACTAAGACATCCATATCAAATGAAAGTGGGTCAAAGGAGTCAGAGGATCGAAAAATGAACAGAGAGTTACATAGTCAGAATATTTGCTCATCTTGAGCAGTTTCAGTTCTTGAGGGATTTCAAGATGAATTTCTTCAAAGTAACATTCTGGAGGTTAGTGAGCCATTTGAGATTGACAATGATGGACATAATCAGTAAGAAGATATAAATCATATAAATTTGATTAATTGAAGTTTGTGAATTGTTAGTCAGTCGAGGATATTTGAGAATTTGATATTTGATGCAGTGAAGGTGGAGTAAATTCAAAAAATTACAGAGCAGACTAAAAAAAAATAAATGAAAGTTGTGCTAAATAGTTCCAGTTGCATGTCTGCACAGTGAATGCAGCTGCATGGACAATCATGTCAATCAATAATCAACTCATAAATTAATTAGACAAGAACAGTGTAGTTCAAACTATTCCTTATGATGCAACACCACACTGGCTTTGTGCACAAAATGATGGGATAACTGTACAGTCAAATAGTTCACAATATTAGGAATATAACTCCAATGTGAAAACAATTATAAAGTCTTAGAAAATTGACCTTTAAAAGCTGTGAGATGGTAAACCTCAGAGCAAGTTCTTATTTCTATTCATCAAAGGTGTCTTTTACAATTAGTAAGAAAATAAGAAGATAAAAGAGCTGCATTGTCCAATATTGCAGGAATCAAACAATTCTGAGGCAATTCAAAAGTCCAACAGAGAAAAATCATGCAAAGTATGGAGGTTGCTCTTGCCAAGACACTGCAGTACTTTATTGTAAATTGAACTATCTATGGACTGAACAATCCCTGCAGCTTCTAAGAGACATAATCCCCTGGGCAATGGAAATGGCCTAAAGTAAAAAGTATTTTCTGACATAGCAAATATTTCTGCAATGGAAGCAAAAGGAATCATTTTGCTGATGGAAAAGTTATATACATTACTGTCAGTGAGTGAGTGTTCTGCTTTGTGTTGCAGATAAAAATGTAAATCTGTTTTGCTGCTGAGCTGAAGATGTCAATTACTGTATAAAGAACTGGTATAATTTACCCAATCAGCCAGCTGCCTAGCATTGATGGAAAACGTAGTTGTTTACCGGCAGTCCCAACAAGATGGTTGGTAAAATGTCCCACAGTACAAGGCTGAGAAGGTTGTATTCTATTGATTGCTCCCTCCTTGCTTGTGAAGCTACTATATTGTGCCAAACTCAGTGCTAGTGCAACGATGTAATGAAATTTTTAAGAAGCTCGGGCTCAGTCCAAATTGATGTTATAGTTTTATATTCTCCTCATTTGAATTATGTCAGATTTCTTACCTTATTTTCTGTGAGAACTAAGGTTAGACAATCAACGTAAAATTTGCATATTGAAGAATGGCGATGATTAAGAATTGCAACAGAGTTTTCCAGTGTAAAATATATGGCTAAATAAATGAAAATAAATAATCTGTGGAATAAATGATCTTATATTTCCAGAAATCAATCGATATTGTAAAAGGGAAATTGATACTTACTTGAGATTGAATAGATAAATGCCACCAATGACTAATAACATGGTGGATCTGACTCAAAGTACTGAAATCCTAATCCTCTTCTTTTCATTCGAAATTTCATTTTGGTGAAAGAACATTACTGTTGTGTTGAAAGTATGAGCTTTTGAAGCAATGGGGGTATTTTGGCATCCCATCTGAACAATGACATTGTTTATCAACAGCTCACACAGAAAGGAGTTATGTGAGAAGAGTATAATCCTAGACAAATACTTGCAACCAGTACTTATTTTTATCCTTTCTGTACCAATTTACCAGAAATTTGAATAGAAAGTTACTCCTGCAGCATATGAGTGAGGTTTATCACTTTCTGCAGTCCTAAGTTTTTAAACTTACAAAACTCTTAATTTGAGAAGTTTAAAATGAAGTCTGACATGGGCTTACACTAAAGAGTGTTTTTGATAAGACTAATAGGGAAAAAAACAACTTCTGCTGGTTGGGAGCACGTGAGCCAGTGTGTTTCAATTTCATACTGTCACCAAATTTTGGATTGCTAATGCAGAGGGTTGTTAAAACATAACGTTAATAATATGAAAGAAAAGTAGATAATTAGTGAAAAGACAGGAGTTTATGGAGAAAGAGATGGGAATGGGCCTAAATGGAAAACACTTTCAGGTCTGATGGGCTGGTGCCCCCAAGAAAATGAAGATTTAAGCCTCTTCCAGATCTTCAAAGACACTTTCAGATACAATGAATGGCACTCTAAGATGAACCACACCCTATTGATTCTGGTGGATGGGCATTCAGCTACTTTTATATTAAAATTACGAAGTTTAACATTTGTGGAGGTTGAATGTTGAAGTAAAAATAAGGAATTGTCTTTCTCTGTCAGTGTTATGCTCTTTGAATCAGTTTTAACCAAACATATATTATTTGTTCTATTTTGTTATCTTTTCTATTATTGTGCTTGAAAATCAGTGTTGAAATTTATCACAGCTTCCTATCAACTTCTTGAAAACTACTTCAGAAAATTTAACTGAAGCCCTACTACCTCCAAGACTTCATGACTAATGTGTATATCATTATTCACCTTCCATATTGTAAATGACTCGACTATATCACATTAAAAATGCTAAATAAACTTTGTTGTCCTTCCAAATAAACTTTGTTGCCTTAGCTGCTGCGGAGGGTCAATTATTTCAGTTGACTGGCTAGCTGGTTTACAACGCAGAGTAATGCCAACAGCATAAATTCAATTCCTGTACTAGCTGAAGTCACCATGAAGGAGCCAACTTTTTAACCTCACCCTTCACCTGAGGTATGGTGACCCTCAAGTTAAACTCACCACCAGTCATGTCTCTCTAATGAGAGAGTGGGAGTATGTGACTTTACCTTTGCCTTTTATCATCCTGGTCGTGGTCCTAAATATATGATCCCTATTTCTGATATTGATGCCATATGATTTCATGGCCTTAAAAAGAAAGGAATAATCTATGGAACTATGGCTCCATGTCAATTAACAACAGGTATTCTTTTAAATGAACCAACTGAAAGTTTGCATTCTCTTCTATACATACAATTCCTGAGTCTTTCAGATGATCACAATTTGATGCAAGTAGGCAAAAATGTGCATCAATTCAGAAGAGCTAACATGGATTTGTGAAGGAAAACTCATGTCTAACTTTCTGGTACTTGTTTGAAGAGGCAACAGAAAGGGTTGATGAGGGAAAGGTTGATGATGTAGTGTACATCAACTTCCAAAAGGTGTCTGACACAATGTCACATGACAGACTTCTGAGGAAAGTTATAGATCATTAAATAAAAAGGATAGTAGCAACATGGATTAAAAAATTAACTGAGGGGTAGGAAACAGAGAGTATGGTTAGTGAGTTTTTTTCTTGGGCTGGAAAAAAGTTTGGAATGGAGTTCTCAAGGGGTCAGTATTGCTTTTCGTGATATAACTCTAGATAAGTGATCTAGATGTTGGTGAACAGAGGATAATTTTGAAATTTGCAGATGACACAAAATTTGGGGGAATTATGAACAGTGAGTGGAACAGTGTTAAATTCAAAATGATATTGAGACATTAGCAGAGTAGGCAGATAGGAGGCAGATGAAGTCCAATGTGTTGAAGTGGGAGGTAATGCACTTTGGTACAAAGAACACGGAGAGACAATGTAAAATACAGGGTCATGTTCTAAAGGGTGTGCAGGAGCAGACAGACCTAGGTGTGTTTTGACATAAGTCATTGGGTGGCATGGTGGCTTAGTGGTTAGCAATGCCGCCTCACAGTGCCAGGGATCCAGGTTTAATATCCAGCCTTGGGTGACTGTCTATGTGGAGTTGTGCATTCTCCCTGTGTATGTGTGGGTTTCTACCTGGCACTCTGGTTTCCTCCCCCAGTACAAAAATGTTAAGGTTAGATGGATTGGCCATGGTAAAAGCAGGGATAGGATGGGGTGCCTGGGTCTGGGCAGGATGCCCTTCAGAGGGTTAGTACAGACATGATGAGCCAAATAGCCTCTTTATGCACTGTAGGGATTATACGCCTAAAGGTGCAGGACAAGTAGACAGAGCTAAAGATCAAGCAGACAATATTCTAGACTTTTTAAATAGAGGATAGAGTACAAGAGCAGGAGGTTATGATGAACTTCGATAAAACACTGGTTAGACCTCAGCTGGAGTATTGTGCATAGTTCAGGGTTCCAAGCAGAAAGGATGTGAATGCATTGGACAGAGTGCATGAGAGGTATGCAAGAACACCTCAGTTATGAGGGAAGATTTAAGAAGCTGGAATTGTTTCCCTGGGAGCCCAGAATGCTAAGAGGGGATTTGATGAAGTCTTCAAAATCATGAAGGGTCTGGACACAGTGGATAGAGACTCTTCCCTATCTTCTCTGTCCCTAACTTTTCCCACTTGTAAACGGATTGAGTTTTAAAGTGTTTTACAAAGGAAGTAGATGCAGAATTAGAAGAACCATTTTTACACAGTGAGTAGTTAGGAATGGGAATGCACTGCCTGGAAGTGTCATGAAGCTTTGTCAAGTGAGGCATTCAATAGGGCATTGGATGATTGCTCCTACTTAAACTATGTGCAGGGTTACGGGGAAAAGGCAGGAAGTTACCAATAAAAATTCTCAGACAGCCAATGCAGACACAACTGGGTTGAATGCTTTCTTCTGTGATTTTGTGACTCAAACCCAATTCCAATCATTTTGGAATAAACAGCAAAGAAATGATACAATTTAAAGGATATTTTGAAACAGGGGGCCCTGAAGGATTAGTTAAAAAGAAAAGCACACAGGATTGTTGGCTTTATAGAAGGAATTTCAGAAAAATAGAACACAAGGAAAGATGGTAAACCATAATTAACCTGATTAGACCTGAGCTAGAGTACTGTGCCCAATTTCACGCAACACACACCTTTGGAAAGATGTGAAGGTTTTAGTGAAGAAACAGAAGTGATTCCAGACAGGGACCAGGGACAAGAAACTTCAGTTATGTGAAGAAGATCCACATTTACCTTAAAGCAAAAATGGTTAAGGAGAAATTGATAAAAGGAATATCAAATATTCAGGGATTTTAAAAATTCATTCGGGGCATTGTTGAATCAACCATAACATCCATCTCTAAATGCCCCATAGAAGGTGGTGATGAGCTGTCTTCTTTAATTGCTGCAATCCATGTGGCATAGGTACATGCACAGTCCAGTTAGGTAGGGAGTTCCAGGACTTTGACTCAGTGACAGGGAAGCAATGGTGACATAGTTACAAGTTAGCATCCTACACGCCTTGGAAGTAACCTGAAGGCGGTGTTATTTTCATGTATCTGTTGCCCTTGTCCTTCTAGGTGGTAGAGGTTTTTGGGATTGGAAGGTGCTGTTGAAAGGGCCTTGGTGAATTGTTGCTGGAGGGGAGTAACCAAAAGACTCAGATTTAAGAAAATAAGTTAAAAAAAATCCAGGGGGGGCAATTGTGATTTCTTTTGATACAGGGTTGTTTTAATTCAGAATACCTAAAAACATGATGGAAGCAGATTGAATCGTAAATTTCACCAGGCAATGGGAGATGAAATTAGCCTTTATCATATTAAATGACGAGCAGGCCTGAAGGGATGAATGGCCTACTCCTGCTTCTAATTCTTATTTGAAATATACTTCTTTCAATTTCCTGCCATTGCCAAATGCATAGATGAACAAATTAGCAATAATCCAAACTGCTCACCACAATTATCCTGTATGTGGTTCATTTGGAGTATGGAATCTTTACCACAAAGGGCTGTTGAGGCTGAGTCATTTTGCATATTCAAGGCTGAGGTAGATTTTTAATCAATAAAGGAATCAAGGGTTATAGGGAAAAGGATATGGAGTTGAGGATTATCAGATCAGCCATGATCTCATTGAATGGTGGAACAGACTCAATGGGCTAAATGGTTTAATTCTACGCCACTGTCTTATGGTCATATATATATGTATATCTGAAAAGGAGAAAGTTGCAAGTCTATGAAGAAACTCCAAGTGGATCATAAGAAATGGACAGCTCTTCACAGATTCTTTTTGATCCACCATTTCTGCACAGCAGCAATCAGCAGTCACTCAGTTCAGCAGAAAACATGCTCCCTCAGAGCTTCATTCAACAACATCATTTATGAAGGATGGGTGTGTAGTTTAAAACAGAGAAATGCTACCCCAGCCCACCAGTCATCACAACAAAATAAAAATGTATGAACTGAATTTCCACTAGGGTATCAGCATTACTTAGTTATAGTTTCTGAAGTATTCCCCAACATGGAAATTTTCAGCAATATTAGACTTCAACAACTGATTTTATTTGTAGTTAGAGTTTGTGTCGAAAAAGTGTATCAGTTGTATCAATATTTGATGAATTAAGGGGTGTTAGATATCATCAGGATGTACATGTTACAGGGAGGATTAATCGACCTGTAGCACAGTCACTTAACCATAATTATCACTAGGACTCAAATTCCTAAAATACAGAGGTATTTGTAAATCTGTTTTAAAAAGGAAGAAGTTGCTGAATTAACGATTGGCAGGTTTCTTAATGTTTGTTTTTTAAAAAGGGAATGCAAGCAACTAACACCTTTAACAAATTTGGCAGTCTTTGTAAACTCAATCTGAACATGAACGATTCTGAATGTTAATCTGAATCACAGAATCTTGAGGCGCAAACTAATCGGCCCATACTGGCTATATCTTGTGTGTCCGCTCTGATGTTATTAAAACAGATCGGGCACGTTATATGTATTAAGCGCCCGTAATTGCTGAAACGACTGATAACTGTCACTAGATTATCAAATCTTTTTTCCCAATTCAATAAATATTTAAACTTCCGTGCATTGCAATCGTCACACAATGCTACATTGAGATCTCGTCTGAAAACTTGCTTAAGTGCCAAATCAGTCGCAGCCAACGCCAAAATGTTTCGTATTAACATCTGAGAAGTCAGCGGGGCCATGCAAAAGTGGGATTGACCGTTCGAGGTGGCGGTTTGTGGCTTTAAGGCAGAACATTGCAACTTAATACCTAATCCGAGGAAGGGTCACCGGACCCGAAACGTTAACTCTGTTTTCTCCTCCACAGATGCTGTCAGACCTGCTGAGCTTTTCCAGCAACTTTGTTTTTGTTGCAACTTAATATTCCCAACTTGTCTCTTATTTAAGTAAAAAAGATCAGTAATCAAAATATCCAGAAAGACGACTCCACAATTTCAGATGATTTATATTTTTACCTCAGCTACCTCTCTGGAGAGGGATCAAACAGATTGGTCTCCAATGTCCATCAAGCTGTCCCCAGGAAATCAATAGCCCTTGCCACAGCAATCTGACTCAAAGGAGCCAACCCACGTCCGCATTATACCAGCTGACTGGCAAAACATTTTGTGGGCATTATGTCTGTGTGTAGAATTAAAATAACATGCGAAACGCACACACAGGCAGGTATCAGACTAAGATACTCAATAATTCCTGTTGCATCACTGACACAACCAGGGGTGAATCATTTTATTTAATAAGCCGGGAACAAGATTGACGCTCGTGTTTCCCCACAGTCACGGGATGCTGAAAGACAAAGGTGCAGCTGGATCAGTAACATCGTGTCCTTCAGACACCCCCAGGCAGCAAGCTGCATCTCCCCATCACAACCTCCTATATCTACACACACTGCAACATCCCGTCTGAGACCATTATCCTCTCAACTCCGTGTCTGCCACACAGAAATAGGGTCAGTTATGGGGAGTCATGTCATTGACAGTAACAATCCCTCTGTGTATCAAATATGAAGTGAGACGAAGCCAATGTGAAACCATTTCGGATCTTATCCATCAAACCCGACAGGCGTGGGTCAAGCAAACTGAAAGGAGGGGCTTGGGATGGGGTCGCAGGAGACACTTTTAAGTGACCTTGCAATGAAACTTGACAAATACAGACTGCAGCAGATCAAACGCAGCGCAGCGCAGACTGCAGCATCAGACAGCGTTATATCGTACATCGAGAAATAAACTCCTGTCGTCTGCTGGGCTTGTGTTTATGTTTACGTGCGAGGCATTTCCATGTGTGTCTGTGTTTGTATGTGTGTGTGTTTGCATTAGTGTCTGCTGGTGTCTGAATGTCTGTATATGTTATTGCATGTGCGGTACATAGACGCAGTGGGCCGAGCAGACACAACCCGCTTGCTGAAATTTGCATACAAACCCAAACATACACACATCCCATTCTCTCTGCGGCAGGCACCACCTAACCAACTCCGCCAAGTTACCAGCCTTGGCGGGGGCCAAATAAAATCAAAGAAGCGATTTCGCCGGCCTCTGTTCTGCCTCCGTCTACAACATCATTTGCTTTTGGCAATGCAATAAGTGCAGGGACTGCAGCACCTTGAATGAAATGCTCCCGAGCCGAGCAAACGTCTCCGCGTATTATTTTCTTCAAAATTCCAATAGATTTACCCTACCTTCACTGCAACATATCCAAATTACAAGTCGTTGTAAATTAGAATTCGTTACGAATTACAATTGCGTTTTTTTTAAAACAAAGATACAATTTGTGGCTATGATTTGTAATTCTGCGCATCATGTTACCTTTTTGCAACGGAAGTGAAATGAGCGAAGGCTCTGGGTCCTGGTGCAGGCTCTGTGTCAGCGTGCTGAGGGACTGAAGAAGTGGTTTTCACATGATGAGAGACTCGAATGTTTCTAACAGAGAGCCACACCTTCACTGAACACCCACCCTCCAGTGACGACAGTCAATAACACAAACCATTCATTTAAAGGGAAACGCTTTTTTTATTGACTTCTAATAAAGTTCCCTCTTCAACCCGCTTTCCAATTTCGTTAACAAAAGAGATTTTATTTAATTTATTACACCTCCCTGAGTTTAGTGCTGTCCGTTTGAAGATTTAACCAAAGGCCCCAAAACTGGAGGGGATTAAAATTGTAGTGCAGCAATGTACAGTGTGCGGCCTCATCTACTTTGGGTGAAATCTAAGGACCTACTCATCCTCCAAAAACAGTTCTGCCGGGGAGCAGGTTGCAGCTATTCCTTCAATATCAGTAAAACTCTTTAATTTCACCTATACATTGTCTATATACAGTACTTGGGCAACTGTAACCATTTCCGTGTTAAAATGACATTTCTTTTACGGTTTGGCGACTTCAAACTCTGAAAGGGGTGTTGACGCTGAAATTGAGAAAAAGGATTGTGAATTTTCCAATGACTATTACAATGTTTCTGATTGCTATCGTTTAGAGTGAGAAGCGGGATGAGATTGATCCGGCAGCATCACGGTCACCCTAATGTTATAGATCCGTCTTCCTCTTTGTAGACCTGTTCCCAGAGCTTGCTATCAGGTTGTGCTTCAATTATTAATATTCAGAGATGTTCAGTTTGCTAATGCAGCCACATTTGCCGTTAAAGTCCAGAGCATTGTGGCAGGGAAACAGACTATGACATTTACCTCACTGCCTCATTCGGAGGAGGCACAGGACATTTTTGCGAAATTGATCAATTTGCTATGTAGTCTTCAAAGACATAACCCTAACATTGCCTTTCCCAGGGCATCTCGATTTATAGAATTTGATAAATCTCCAGCATCCTAATCCTGAACTATAAATCAGAACGTTACCAGTACATTACTGTCAGACAAGAGAACCTGCTACCAAGCTGTGGGGACTTAATGGCCTAGTATTGCTGGACTATTAATCCAGAGACCCAGGTAGTGTTTTAGGGACTAGGTTCAAATTGTGCCATGGCAGATGGTGGAATTTGAATTCAATAAAAATCTGGAACTAAGAGTCTAGTGATAACCATTGTCAATTGTTCATTTGGTTTGAAAAATTCATTTGGTTCGTCACCATCTTTTAGGGAAGGAAACTGCCACCATACCTGTTCTGGTCTACATGTGACTCCAGACCCACAGCAATGTCATTGACTCTTAACTGTCCTCTGAAATGGCATAACAGGTCATTCCATTGTATCAACTGCTAGAAAGAGAAAATGAATGAAAATGGACTATCTGGCACATGGACTGCAGCAGTTCAGGAAGGGAGCGCAAAGGCAACTAGTAATGGGCAATAAATACTTGCTCAGCCAGTGATCCCAATGTCCCATGAGTGCATATATATATATATAAAAAATCAGTCTTTGCATGCAACTATTTACAAAAAATTCAATCCTGATTTTTAACTGACAAAGTCACCATAGTCCAATAGGGCTGCTGTCTCAAAGAGAAAGACAATCATTGGTGGTTTCACCACACCTCAGGCATGGGTGAGGGCTCAGGGAAGGGTTGAGAAATTCGAACCTTCATGGTAACTTCAGCTGGTATGGGAATGGAACCCATACTGTTGGCATCACTCTGCATTGGCACACAGAAATCCACCATTAAACAAGTACTGTCGATTGTCACACATCCTGATAGAGGTCATTCAGAAACTTCAAAGATGCCTAATGCTTTAGTGGCATCATTTCTGTTCATACTGTCTGATCAGAAGTTACATGTTGTCTGTTTTCTGTTAAGTCATACTGTCCCTTTTATCATACCCTGAAACCTTTAGCTTCCTTGTGCTTTGTGTCGTGTCACATTTCAAGTCCTGATATTCTCCAACTCAAATAAATGACTCTTAGTTGTTTTACAATGGAGAGGATTTTGTGTCTAGCAATCTCCAAGAGGAAAGAACAGCATAATTAAAGTTGATGATGGCATAACCATTTTTCTTTTTCAGTTACTATGTGGATTTCTTACAACAGAAGCAGTAGCTGAAAAATAATATTGAATAATCCATACGAATATTTTAAAAGGGCAGATTCTTTCAAACTCACCAAAGGGATATTTCCATCCTCGATTGCCAGCTGAGAGTAGAAGCCAATTACGGCCATTACTTTCTCTTTATTTGGTGCCATATGCCAGATGTTGGTATATTGTGTGCTGCCTTCTGCAGAATGAATAAATAATGTCAATTGGCTGCTGCAATCTCCAGATCCTACACTCACAATCAGAATTAATGATGGAAATAATAGGAAGTATTGAGCTGGATATTGCTCACATGGATAATAGCATGTGAGACACAAAATGTTGTCAAGTGACCTTATACATGTGGCAAGGAGTCTGATGTCATTTTGGCTACCTTAAAAAAGTAATCCTTGACTGCTGTGATTATAGAATACTATTTTGCTTTCCTGCAATTTATTTAATTACCTTATTATTCATCTTTAAATACTCTTGCCTTTGATCTATGAAGTTATTAAATTTCTTCCACCATTTTAAGAGAGTCCTCCAGGTTTGTTGACTGATCACTCTCAGCCACTTCCATCTCTTTCTCATGTCGTTTACTGTGATGTGTGATGCCTATTTCCTGGAAATCTAACAATGAAGTCACCAATTTCATTCTCCAGTTCCTTGACTCAAGTTGCTTAGTCCTTTTTCTAAGAATTGGCTTAGCCGTTTAAATCCATGAAGCTCTTTTAAGTACAGAGGTCTTGCCCTTGGTAGCTGAACATAGAAACTGTCAGAAATTCTCCAATTTATTTGACATAAATTCCACTCTACCGCACTTACAGTAGTGAATGAGCCCCCAGGAATTTCCAGGCAAACATTTACAACCCTTTATTGTAGCCAACATTTATCCTTCAACTATTATTACACTAAACAGATTAAAAAGTCATTTATTTTCTTTTCTGCACCTTGCTGTGAATAAATTGGTTGATGCATTTCCTTATGTTATAACAGTGACCACACTTCAAAACTAGTTCAAGGTTATGAAGTGCTTTAAGCTGTCATGAAATACGATATATTAATACAGTTCCCTTCTTTCCCCATTGACGTATCAATTACATTTTCTGAGTATTTCTTTTTATTCCAAAACTATGTGCTCTTTCTTTATTAACTCTTTTATCAAGGCATCTTGTCTAACTAAACCAGATTTCTGTTTCTATCAGGTTCATGCTTGAGAGCTTTATTTTCAAATTTGTCATGCTGCCAGTCTTTTATGAGCAATCCCAGGCTACTCTTTTTCATCCTTTTTCTTCGTCTTGCCAGTTCGATGCCTCATACTTCTAGTCATCCTGTATAGTCCATGCGCACCTTGCTGTTTTTCACTAACAGTGATTCACTGATCAAATTTCCACCATTCGTTTTTTGAAGTTGTATACATACAGTGCAATTTCTTCAGAAACATGGATTTTATTCTGCAACTTCTGAGAGATTCAATGGCTCTCATCCTTCAGCTTCTCACCAATAATGATTCTCTAACCAACTGTATCTCTGAGATTCCTGTTCATATAGGCAAGCTATACTGTTGATTGCAAAAACCACAGATAAATGAAATCAATCAATGAAATTTACAATGATGAGAAACCGAAGAATGTGACGGATAGTTAGTGAGAAACTGTGTGATGAGGGAAATCAGGACATTTGAAATGTGGCACTGAAGTACAAACAAGTACTTGACTGGTGACAAAAATACCTGTGTAATTTTAGTTAAATCAATAATATCAGAAGTCAACTGATGCATTAATGTTGTGATCCATGTAGTAAGTTGCAATGTAGATGTTCTGCATATATACCAAAAAAATTTATACTCACAGACAACCAACTACTCAACAATCTGGATGGTCCAGAATATTTCTATGAATTATTACACACTGGTAATACTCCCACCAATCTGATTCTTTAATAATATGTATACAAAATACCTAAAATACATCTATAATATATATCTAATGGTACTTGTTTCAAAATTCTGTAGGTTAACATATAGATTGAGCTGAGCAATTTGTTATTTCAGTAACACTGTTAAAACAGTACAGCAAATGGCAGCACTGATAAGTTCCTTATTATGTGCATACTAAATACAGTAAATCACGAGTGTCTGCGAAATCATGAATCACAAATTCACCTACCATCACCAAAAAAGTAACAAAATTCAATACCTGAGTCAAAACTTGTGTATCTGCCATTTTTAACTTATTTTTAACATACTTTTAAATGAGCTGCATACGCTCAAATGTCATTATTCATGGGGGTTCTCAGGAACAGAACCCTTCCAGATACAGAGGAATGACTATCTTTTTTATGGAATGTACTTTATATAATATTTTCTTTAAACTTGAATTAAAATTTTAATTTACATTGACATACTGTATAAAATAGCAGATAAATAATTTCTCTACCTCTTCCTTGAACAAAGTGACAATTATTCTCTACATTTTCTTGGATAATTCCTGATCTGGTGGTAGGCATGTTATTCTCTTAGGTGGAGAAATAGTCCATTATTTCCTGAGTACCCTGATTGTATCCTATTATAGTTGCCATTTGGCTTTGGCTAGTAACCCAAAGTTATCTGTAGGCATATTGACTTAGCAGTATCATTTGAGATGGCATAATAGTAGCTAGAATATCAAGCTGATATAGCAGTGACTGCCTTTGGAGAATAGCCTTAAGTGATTTTATTCAGAAAACTATATCATAGAATTCGTACAGTGTGGAAACAGGCCATTCAGCCCCACATGCCCCACACACAGACTCACCACCCTCCCCCTACCCTATCCCTGCATTTCCCATGGCCAATCTACTTAACCTATGCATCCCTGGACACTATGGGCAATTTAGCATGGCCAATCCACCTAACCTGCACATTTTTAGACTGTGGAAGGAAACCGGAGCACCCAGAGGAAACCCACGCAGACACGGGG